TCACGTAACTTTCAACCAGGCACCTTAACATTGCTCCTAGCACATAGTAAGTACTCAGTAGAGTAGCAGAGACTGCTATCTGCCTACCCTAATAACCAATCTATTCCTCTTAGTTAAAAGAACACCAACTCTCAGTTGGGAGCACGATCACTTGGAATAAAGACTACATTTCCCCATCCCCCTTATATGGTCATAAAACTTAGTTATGGCCAATGGAATGCAAGAAGAGCTACCTGCAAGCTACTAGGAAATATCCTAAGTACTAAATGCCCCTTCTTATTTGCCCACTCTACTCCAACCCTGCTGTTTAAGACATAGATGATATGACTCGAGCTCCAACTTGGACCATTAGGATGACGGAGCCAAAAGCTGAAGCAGCCTTGGTATGTCTTCTTTTATAATTAGCCACTATTTTGTTTAAAACCACTGTTATTTTGGATCTCTATTTTTTGCAAAGACACCTAAGCTAAATTAATAAGTAATCCAATACCCAACTTCTACTTTTTGTCATCAATTGCCATATTCTTCAATAAAAGTACAAATTGTGCTTTATTAATTTACGTTCTTATTCTACTTCTCATTCTTCACTGACATATTCTTAAATATATATTTTTTCTCTGCTGTTTTCCTTTTGCAACCTGTTGTCAATTATAGTCCCTGTTTATTCAATCGCCCTTCTCCAGCTAAGAGTTCTCAGCTACTTACTTTGATTTGCAAAAGAAGCACAGTGATTTCCACAACTCCAAAGGCATTCCTCTTAGATGGTATTTGATTAACAACTGGTTTTATAAAGATAGATTTACTCCCTTCACAAAGGATAAGTAATCCAAAGTAAATAGGCTTGTTCTCTGATAATTTAATGGAAAAAATGTAATATTTATAAAATTCTTCTGGGATATTTTAATCTGAGCTAGTTGAGCTCAGGTAATCCCAATTTGTATGCTATTAATTTTACATGCTGTAGAAGTGATCATAATTTATAGGAATATAGCCTGTCTTTGTCTTAATTTGCTCATAATATTCTTGTTATTCTTAAATCTCTATTCTTTGTACGTCCTCAAAAATGTCTCCATTTTTGCTCTAACCGGTTTGGCTCAGTGGATAGAGCGTCAGCCTGCGGACTCAAGGGTCCCAGGTTTGATTCCGGTCAAGGGCATGTACCTTGGTTGCGGGCACATCCCCAGTAGGGAGTGGGCAGGAGGCAGCTGATCGATGTTTCTCTCTCATCGATGTTTCTAACTCTCTATCCCTCTCCCTTCCTCTCTGTAAAAAATCAATAAAATATAAAAAAATAAAATGTTTTAAAAAAATCTCCATTTTTAAAAACTTTTTTGTATTGTTTTCACTTACTTATTTAATCTTCCCTTGCTATGGATCTGATTTCTAGTTGTTTTTTCTTATTAGAAGCTTCAGAGTTGTCAGTTATCAAGTTCTTATTCTCTTGTTTTTACCCTGCTATTATATTTGTCATTCTAACCTATTTGTGCTTAAGAGTTATATATTCCTTTTTGTTCTGAGTGGACACACTTCTCTCTGAATTATAGTTGTGATTCATGTACTTGTTCTGTTTAAGCATTATCATTACACTAGAGGCCCGGCTGCGCAACATTTGTGCACTTGTGGGGGGGGCGTCCCTTAGCCCGGCCTGCTCCATTTCACAGTCTGGGAGTCCCAGGAGCGGACCTAAGCCACAGTTGGACATCCTTGAACATCCTTAGCATTGCCGGGGAGGCGGGCTGCTGCGCTCGCCAGCCATCAGCCTGGCTTGTGGCTGAGCAGCGCTCACCCTGTGGGAATGCACTGACCACCAGGGGGCAGCTCCTGTGTTGTACGTCTGCCCCCTGGTAGTCAGTGCACGTCATAGCAACTGGTTGTTCCCGTTTGGTCTATTTGCATATCACCCTTTTATTATATAGAATTGTTTTGTTTTTCTAGCTTTGTTCTTTGACCTAGTAAATTTGTTGGCTAATCCTTTCTCTCATCCTTGAGTATACCTTGGTGGGCTTTTTTGTTATTGTTACTGATTTTTATTTGTTCCAGGTAATTTTATAGTACCTTAATGAGTTTAATAGTAGAAATAACTGTACATTCTAGAAACTTCTTGAGTATTCCCAGATGGAAATAGCTGAAATTCCACAAAAATTCCACAATTCATGAAAAGAGAGCAATGTAAGTAGCTTACTGAAAGTTGAACATGGTGGTGGATGGCCCTAACACTTACTTCTATTTCTTACTCAAAATATTTGAGAAGCAGATCTCAGCAGTAGATACCATTCACTAATCAGCAAGATCCTCTTCCATATTCAATCACTGGAAGAATTCTAATGCAATACATCTACTGCATAAAGTATTTTCCTTATACTGTACTCCCCCTGCCTTTCTAGACAAACATTCATTTTCTTTAAAAAAATATATTTTCATTGATTTCAGAGAGGAATGATGAGAGAAAATTATCAATCGGCTGCCTCCTACATGCCCCCTACTTGGTTCTAAGCCCATAACCTGGGCATGTGCCCTTGACTGTAATCGAACCCAGGACCCTTCAGTCCACAGGCCGAAATTCTACCCACTGAGCCAAACTGGCTACACAAATATTTTTTGAAAGATAAAGGCAAAAACACATTTTAAAATGTCTTATGTTTTTTTTTCTTTTTCTACTCTCTATTAATTTGGAAGAATGAACTACTACTATCTATCCCAGCGGTTCTCAACCTGTGGGTCATGAACCCTTTGGGGGTCAAACGACCCTTTCACAGGGGTCGCCTAAGACCATCGGAAAACACATATATAATTACATATTGTTTTTATGATTAATCACTATGCTTTCATTATGTTCAATTTGTAACAATGAAAATACATCCTGCATATCAGATGTTTACATTACAATTCATAACAGTAGCAAAATTACAGTTATGAAGTAGCAACAAAAATAATTTTATGGTTGGGGGTCACCACAACATGAGGAACTGTATTAAAGGGTTGCGGCATTAGGAAGGTTGAGAACCACTGATCTATCCTATCTAATAAAAGGGTAATATGCAAATTAACCATCACTCCGTCACAAATATGGCGGCGCCCAGGCCTCTCAGCCCCGCTGGAGTCCCCCAGTCCTGCGGGAGCAGCCACTGAGAGCGGGCAGCGTGAGCGGCCTGGTGGAATGCTTGCTTTGTAACCGCAGCGACGAGGCAAGCGTTCCACCCTGGCCACGGAGGGCCTCTGGGCTGCGAAGAGCCTCTGGGCAGCGGGCGCAGAGTGGCCAGGCCCCACAGAGAGCTATTGGTGCATGGATTCGTGCACAGGGCTACTAGTATATATATAAAAGCCTAATATACAAAGTGCCCCCTTGGGAGTTCGACCAACTGGGAATTCGATCGTTCGCTATGACGTGTGCTGACCATCAGGGGGAGGCACAGAACAAAGGAAGGCTCCGGCCTGCAGCCAGCATCCGCTAGGGACCCTACCTGTGCACAAATTTTGTGCACTGGACCTCTAGTCTACTATATTATGGGTGAATCTCATGTTAAATAAAGAAGCAAGGCACAAAATAATAGTTACAATTGCATTTATATGAAGTTCAAAAACAAGCAAGAATAATTGTTTTTGAACTTCGCATACAACCTCGTATCACCGCTAGATGCTAGTAATTTTCTATATGTTGATATGGATGTTGATTATACAAATGTATACAGATGTAAACATTCATCAAATTGTACACTGAATATTTACATATTTATTATCTGTTATACCTTAATTTTTACAAACTCTTATGGTGGCAAGAGTCTTGGGAATAAGCATTGGGAGTTCTACTCGTGGTTCTGCCATTTTTGACTCTTGACAAAGCATAGGACCTCACTGGGTGTTCATTCCATACACTAAATGCTAAGGTCTCTTTCCCTACTGAAATCCATTCATTCAAAATGTCTATGAATTTCCTTAGTCTTCACGTTTGACTTAAACATAGTAAACCTATATGCAAAATTATATTTTCCTGATTTCCACCACATATAACTTGAGCATATCTCTTTAATCCCTACTTGGAAAGACTGGGGAGTCTAATAGGCTTATTTTATATTAACAGAAGGAACTAGCATCAGAATCTCTGGGTCAACATACAAGCACACAAAGTGAAAGGCTTACCTAAGACTACAGGTGATTAGAAATTAGTTACAGTCTATATCTGGGGGGGCGGGAGGGGACAATAAACTGTGATAACAGTAGCTAGAGCTGTAATTTATCTGAATCAATAAAAATAAACTATATCCACTAGAGTGACGATACCTAATAATTTGTAATCAATAACTAGAAGCTAGGTGCAGAAAGGCAGCTGTTCCTTTCAAATTATCTACATGAAGAATCAATATTGACTATACAAGTTCTATAAACATTGGAAACAAATCAAGATATTCCTCTGGCCCTGACCGGTTTGGCTCAGTGAATAGAGCATTGGCCTGTGGACTGAAGGGTCCCGGGTTCGATTCCGGTCAAGGGCATGTACCTTGGTTGCGGGCACATCCCCAGTAGGGGGTGTGCAGGAGGCAGCTGATCGATGTTTCTAACTCTCTATCCCTCTCCCTTCCTCTCTGTAAAAAATCAATAAAATATATATATATTTAAAAAAAAGATATTTCTCTGTCAGGGCAAGCAGGTTACACAAGGGAAGTACACTGTTTGTTTTTACAAGCCTAGTATGCAAATTTTCCCCTCAGGAGTTCAACTGGGAGACCAGGAGTTCGATCGCTCGCTATGATGTGCGCTGACCACCAGGGTGTGGTGCGGAACATGGTGGGCGACCAGTGGCGGCAGGGCGCTGAGGGAGCGAGGGAAGGAAAAGGAGGGGAGGCCAGGAGGTGGGGAACCTGATCGACCCTGATTGCCGGCCAGGCCTAGGGACCCTACCCATGCACGAATTTTGTGCACTGAGCCTCTAGTATATACACATACACAAATACAACTCTATTAGCTGAATATAGGGTCAAAATAAAAACATAACATCTACTCACTTTGACAGAGATACTCCCCCAGCTTTCCCAATCATCTCTTCATGGTGTAATACTGAGTGGTTCCACGGAACATGGAGGAACTTTAAGAGTGTTCGCATCCACCGTTCAGGATGTAAGACCAGTTGTTCATAGTGAACTAACATGCATTTTTTATAGCCAACCTCCATACACTGGTTATACATGGTTTCTATGGCACGATTCCACTTGGTCAAACAGTCCCTATAGCTGTTCAGGTCAAACCCAGCTATAGTAACTTTTCGAGAAATCATTGAATGTACTGATGCCCGGCCATCTCGGACCATCAGGAGAAATTTGGCATTGGGAAATAATCTAGCAAGGTAAGTTAAGGACTTCAGGGCAAAAGGATCTTTATTACATAAATAAGGAGCTGGCTCCCCGTGCTTAACAATGATTTCTAGCAAGAAGGCTTGCATGGCAGAATCCAGCACTTCATCGGTGACACCAGCCTCATCCAAGCGTATTTTCTCTTTACTCGACCGTGACCACATCTGCTTCAGGGCCAGGATTCGGGGAATGACCCTGGTTTCCTCTCCACAGCGAATATCAGGATGTGCATCTAACATGGCCCTCATGAGTGTAGTTCCACTCCGAGGCACACCTCCAATAAAAATCAAAGGCATATCTTTGTGATAGGCAAAGGTTTTGTTGGCTTTGATGTCCAGGCCAGTTCGCACAGTCGTCTTTGTGCTTTCCAATTTAAGAGGCTGACTACGTTCCTCTATTCGGTGATGGCATTCCATGGCGTGTTGGCCCAAGTAAAACACAGTCACAGAACTAATCACCAGACATGCCAATAGTAAGTTCTGCTTCAGTTTTCCAACCATCTTGATGTGGTTATCTTTCTATTAAACAGATATTTTGCTCAAAATTATTTCCAGAAAATGTTCAGGCCATGGAGATTCTTTTTCAGAAAGATGGTCAACATCTAATAGGAAAAGGAAACAGTTATATTATTAAGATTGTTTATAAATTAGTCATCAGTTACAATTATAACATTTTAGCTAGAAAGAAGCCAAAGCTGTCTTAGATCCTTTATAATATTCTTAGAACACAAATATACAAAAGTGTGAGCAAAAATAAATCAAAATTCCCAATCAGAAATAGCTTCTTAATATAACAATTCTAAAACTATGCACAAAATGGAAAATCTAATAAAACTATTTCCATCAGTGAATCAAGTGAATATTTAGTATGCCCAAGTATATCTGGAGTCTAACCCAAGGCTCATGTCTGGTATTTATTTTGATTCATCCCCAAAAAGTCATTATCTCCACAGTCTACTATGAAGAGAAATTATAGAAAAATATACAACTTCTAAATCTTTAACACACATTCAGTTTATTCACCCCACAAATTTTTTATTTAGGTACTACAGGACAGACACTTGAGCTTGGCTGAGGATAAACTTTGAAAAGCATAGCAGTACAGTGACCCATGCTCTCAGGAAACAAAGTCTTGTGAACAGACAGATATGCAAACAATGACAATAAAATGCAATCAGGGCCTTAGTAGAAATAAGCACAGTGGACAATGGAAGTAGAATTAAAACCAACAAATTAAGTCTACCTGAGGAAGCTATAACAGCCTTATAGAAAATAAGAGGTACAGCTACTCCAAGCAATAGGAACTTGTGTGCAAAAGCACAACGGCATGGCAGAATATGGCATAAGTAGGTAACAAGTACCAGGAGGGCTGGTGTATTGGGTGCGAAGAAAATATGTGTGTGCGCGCGCATGTGTGCGTGTGTGAGTGTGTGTGTGCGTGTGTGCATGTGTGTGTGTGTGTGTGTGTGTGAGAGAGAGAGAGAGAGAGAGAGAGAGACAGAAAGAGAGAGAGAGAGAGAGAGATATCGATCTAGCCTTTAGAAGGACAGATAAGATAGGGACACACACAGCATTCTAAGCTGAGGATGACCAAAGATGTGGACATACGGAAGTAGAGCATGTGTGTAAATCATACATACTACATAAAATATACATGCTATGGAACTGCTAGTTTAACTGGAACAAGAAGACATGCTACAAAGCAGATAGCAATCAGACTATACAGAGACAGCTTTTGATCAAAGGGAAATCACAATCTGGAGTGCTGTGCTGCCAGTGTAAGTGATATTCCAGGTGGCAGGTGAACAAGGAGGGTGAACAGCTCTAGTAGGCTAAGATGGGAGTCATGGTTGCAAGCTTGTGGCCAAACCTGAGGCTGCACATCGGCAGAAAGGAGACCTGAAGGGATTGAGTGGAAAGTGAATGTCAGGGCAGATTTGAAAATGGTCTGAACTTTGAATGTGCTCATCTACCCATACACAGATCCTCTGTCAGAGGACAAGTCTTACTGGCTCAAGATATTTGAGCATAACCACTATCCTCTAAACTACACAGACAAGGGGGTAACCCTTAGAAAGCCATGTTTAAAAAATTCAAAACAATTGTGTATGTGTATCTGAGCAGCTATGTCAGTTTACATTTATATAAAACTAGAGGCCCAGTGCACGAAATTTGTGCACAGGGGAGTCCCCTCAGCCCAGCCTGCACCCTCTCCAATCCAGGACATCCCTCTTACAATCCTGAACTGCTGGCTCCTAATTGCTCACCTGCCTGCTCACCTGGTCGCCCCTAACTGCCCAACCCTCCCCCCCCCCCCAGCCTGATCACCACTCACCTCCTCTGCATGCTGGCCTGATCGCCCCTAAATGCCCCCCCCCCCCCAGGCCGGGTGCCCCCAAATCCACTGCTGGGCTGGGCACCCTCCCTTAAACTGTCCCCCCACCCAAATTCCAGCCCCCCTTCAATCCCCCGCCGGCCTGGAAAAGGCCCCCCCCGCCGGGCGCTGCTGGCCTGGTGTCCCCAACCCCCCCCCCCCCGCCAACTCAGTCGCCCCACGCAGCCTGCTGTTCAGTCGTTTGGTCATCCCTCGCTAACCCCCCTGCCAGCCTGGTCGCCCCCAACGACCCCCCTGCCAGCTTTGTCACCCCCAACAGACCCCCCCTGCTGGCCTGGTTGCCCCCAATTGCCCCCCCTGCCAGCCTGGTTGCCCCACACAGCCTGCTTGTTCAGTTGTTTGGTCATCCCTCACCCCCCTGCCGGCCTGGTCACCCCACACAGCCTGCTGTTCAGTCGTTTGGTCATCCCTCACTAACCGCCCTGCTGGCCTGGAGCCCCACGCAGCCTGCTTGTTCAGTCATTTGGTCATCTCTCGGGCCAGCCCTGGGTGGCTGGGCAGCTTACATCCGAGGCTTGCCTGCACCTTGGGCTGGCCCTGGGTGGCTGTGGGCTGAGGGGACTGGGCGCTGCTCAGTGGCTGTGGGTGCTTCCATCTTTGAGGGTGTGGCAGTCAATTAGCATATTCCCTCCTTATTGGCTGTGGGTGCCGCCATCTTTGAGGGTGGAGCAGTAAGTTAGACTATTCCCTCCTTATTGGCTGTAGGTGCCATCTTTGCAATGGTGTGAGGGTCAATTAGCATATTCCCTCTTTATTAGATAGGATGCCCATACAAGGTAGATTTTCAGAGACAGAAAGCAGGGCATGGAAGCAGGAATTCGATGACAAATAGGCATGAGGGGACTCTGAAGTGATGGAAATGTTCTAAACCTGGACTGCTGTGATAGCTGCCAAACTCTAAAATCTACTAAAAATCACTGGACTGAACCTGAATGATGGGTAAGTTTTATGGTATTTAAGTTGTACCTCAATATGGCTGTGTGTGTTTTTAAAGAATACATTCCTAGAAAAATATTTTGATAGTCTCAGTAGGATACACCAGTCAAGATCTGGTTTCTGTTTACTTATGTATTCATTCCTTTACTCACATATTTGAACACATATTATTGTGCCAGGCACTGTACTTTATTATAAAGCGGCAACAAAGAACCACAAAGTGATAATAGGTTGAGATGAAAAGATCAGCTTAATAAGAAAAGACTGTAAAGAAAAAAGCATTAAGATAATTGGTAGCAACATAGCACCAAAATATCTATGCAGAAAACTGTATCCATGATATAGAAGACACACTTAAGATATTATATACCATATACAAAATATTCACCAGTCAACTATAGCAGCAACCAATAGTATCTGATAACAACTTCCCATTAAAATACCCCCAAATTCCCAGTAAAATACATAAAATACAAAAACTGGAAATATATGATCAATGTATTTCCTTGTCCAGAAACATACTTGTAAATCAGTTTAATGCATAATACATTACTGATAGGACCTACCAATGTTTATTTGGCCAATTCTCTATTGTTATTTACTTGTTTTTAAATTTTCATGACTATAAATAACACTATGAGAAATATCCGTGTATGTATAAACATCTTTGCACACAAGATTATTTTCTTAAACTAAATTTTTAGAAGAGGAGTTGCTAGGTGAACAGGTATGGGATGTACTTGATTACAAAGCATCTATATGTATAAAAGCCTAATATGCAAATTGTCCCCGTATGAGTTTGAGTGGGAGACTGATTGCTCGCTATGACGTGCGCTGACTACCAGGGGGCAACACGGGACGAAGGAAGGCCCCGGCTGGCAGCTGGAAGGCCCCAATTGGCCTTAATTGCTGGCCAGGCCTAGGAACCTTACCTGTGCACGAATTTCGTGCACGGGGCCTCTAGTTCAGTGGTTCTCAACCTTCCTAATGCCGTGACCCTTTAATACAGATCCTCATGTTGTGGTGACCCCCAACCATAAAATTATTTTCATTGCTACTTCATAACTGTAATTTTGCTACTGTTATGAATCATAATGTGAATATCTGATATGCAGGATGTATTTTCATTGTTACAAATTGAACATAATGAAAGCATAGTGATTAATCATAAAAACAATATGTAATTATATATGTGTTTTCCGATGGTCTTAGGTGACCCCTGTGAAAGGGTCATTCGACCCCCAAAGGGGTCGCAACCCACAGGTTGAGAACCACTGCTCTAGTTTAATATATATTTATTTCATCTCTTTCTCACACCCAACATTCAAATCTGACCAAAAAAAATCTATTGGCTCTACTTTCAAAATTACTTCTCAACACTTCCACTCGCTATGCCAGCATTTCTCACAAGGATTACTAAATGAATCCTTACTTCTATTTCTGCCCTCCTAAAATCTATTCTCAAATTCAACATCGAGAGGGATCTTTTAAAAATGTAAGTCAGAAAATATCATTTCTTTGCTCAAAGCCTGGTACTGTTTTTCAAGGTGGTCTTGAAAAAGCTTATTTTAAGATATCCAACACTAAATCTGTATTAAATTTCTGTCTCTTTTTCTTGAGTTTCTTTATCTGTCAAGAAGTCTTTATTAGGCATCAAAAGTAGCACTGAGGTCAGGCTAATATATCAACATTCCAAGACAGTGTTGTGCAAAGTAAAGTAATTGAGAGGTATCTCTTAACACTAAAGGTTTCATAAGGATTCAATGAAGGCAACTCCCTCTTTACTAAAGGATAATCTAGGGGGAAAGAACACCTTACTATATTTCCAAGCATACTAGATAGTTGTATCAACACAATTTTGGGATATTTTTTCAAGTTTTAATATCAGTTGTATTTTAAACACTGTCTCCCCCAACACACATGAGCAGGGAGCATATTTCTATAGCTCTTCAGGATGTTTGAAAGTAAGTATGACAGTGGACAAAGGCCTTGTAAGGGATATTAAAAAGAAAAAGAAGGACTTTTGTTTCCCCAGAAACATTCACATTACTTTGCACTAAGCTTATGAAGCCTAGTGTTCTCTCTTTGGATGTTTCGAAACTTGGAGAATCACAGAATTATAGATCATCAGTGCTAATGGGACTTCTAAATCATTTGGTCCAATGTTCTCATTTTATAGATATACAAACTGAGGTTCTCAACACCACCCTAAATCTTACCTGTTCTTCAAAGGTCACTTTTCTTTTTATTATGTACTAGAGGCCCAGTGCA